GACTCTCCCCTGACCTCACAGGGCAGGGCTTCGAGGGGCTGGGGGCTCTGGGCACCTGCTCCACCTGGGACAGGGGAACAAAGTGACCCAGTGACCCCAAGGGCTCAGCTCACAGCAGGAAGCCCATTCCCTGTGCTGAGCCCACCTTCTCCGGCCACTTCTTCTGCCTTCCTCTGCAAGCGCCCCGCCCCCCGCCGCCCTGCTCCCTCCGCTGCACTTCCTCCAACCCCCACGTCCCTGCGGGCCTGCCCTGCTCATCCACACATCGAAGCCCCAGCTGGCTCTGTACCCCCAACGCACCCCATCATCTGCTCGCTACCGGCCTTCCCGCCAGGCCCCCTGAGTCCCCAGAGCTGAGCAACAGCCACCCCTGGGGGGCAGGGTCCCAGGCTCAGGCTCTGCCCCACATGAGCCTCCCTGTCCCTCCCTCCCCTTCACCTCCCAGTGACCCAGACACTGGGGCAACAAGAGGGTGCCCGAGAAACCAGATCACAGGGCTTTTCCTAGAGCATTCAAATGAAATCCAAATACAGAAATAAATAAATCCTGCACTAAAAATTTTTTTTTAAAAACAAACAATCAAGAAAGCCCAAGCCTCAAGTTCAGGACACATGTGGAGACCCTGCCTGTGTCTCCAGGCCAACGGTGTAAGCTGCACCTCCAAGGCCAGTCCCTGTGGCTGACACATCCTCGTTTGCTCACCACTACAGCCCTGTCCCCAGCCCGGCTTCTCCACCTCTGCAAGGCCACGGCTGCCCTGGGCGGCTTTAGGTCCCACCTGCCAGCGATCTCCCCACTGCCACATACCCGCCCCCTCCTGCTAGCTGGCCAGGCCAAAGCAGAGCCAGCTTGTCCTTCCTGGCTACCAGCGCAGGCAGACAGAGCCATAGGACAGCCCAGGAGCGCACGCTGAGCCAGACTGCAAAGGAGAGACTGTCAGGGCCTGAGGACCTGTGCTGAAATTGGCCTCCCATCCCTGAAAAGTCAGCATTTGGGGCCTGTCTCCAGCCTGGCCTCCCAGGATCTGGCTGACCCTTGGGCCCTGCCGCTCCTCCCAGCCCTGACCCTGGGAAGGTCACTCCAAGACACAGGAGAAACAAAGGGTCATCCGAACCCAGTTCAGGAGTACGGATGCTGGGAACGCTGCAGTGCCAGTCGTGACCTGCACCTTGGCTCCCCGCCCTTGCCCAGGAGCGTGCACACACCCTCCCCGCCCAGCCCAGGGAGCCAAGCCCAGAGGGCCCCCCACCCCGGGCTGGCCATGTGGTTGGGCATCCATGTCCCTTCTCAGGTATAAAAAGGCTGTGCTCCCCACCCCGCAACCCCACCCTGTGCCGTAGGCCCCTGCCTCCTCTGCCTGCCCCCACCATTCACCAGATTACTAGGGCCGCCTCTGGCAGGCCTGAGGAACCCCATCTCACAGCGGAAACCAGGGCCCTCGGCTTTGACCTCTACCCTGCTCCCCCAGTCAACAGACTCCTTTGTTTTCCTAGAAGCCAGAAGCAGGAACACACACATCACCAGGATCAGAGAGCGTGGGGAGAGGGCTGCTGCCGGGAACTGGGGGTCTGGGGCACCTCCCGCCGGCCAGCATCTGGGCATCCACCCTGCCCACGAGGGAAGCCAGAGCTGCTTCCTTCTCCTCTTCGCCACTGCTCCCTTCCTGGGGAGAATTATTCATTTCCTCTTCCAGAAAAACAGCGCCAGCATCCTTCTCTTCCCTATTCCCCACTGGAATTCGTGCAAAAACGTCTCTGCCCCCTTTCAGCTGCTCCCATGTTTCCTGTGTGCAGAGGGACCCGGGGCCGAGAGACAGGCTGGAACACATCCTGTCCCAGCAGGGGGGAGCTGGGACCCCCAGCCACCCCCACTGCGCGGCCCCCTCCCTCACCTCACATCAGGGGGGGCCGTGTCAATGTTTTAGGGGAAGCCAGACCTCTGGGACCACCTCTCCAGGGAAGGGACACTGCCACCTCCTATCCTATCAGCCCCAACTGCCCACCCACCTGTGCCACACCCACCTGCTGGCCACCTGCGCCCACACCCACCTGTGCCCACACCCACCTGCGCCCACACCCACCTG